TGTTTACCTAATTTACTATAAATTTTAATAGTTGGAGTCAACAAAAAGAAAAAAAACAGAAAAAGGATATAAGTTTAAAGGTGTATAGAACTGGATACAATCAAGGAAGACTATATAGAAGGCTGCTCTTGATAATGTTTGTTTCTTAAGCTAATGGCAGTATTCTTTATACTTTTTTCTGTCTTAGGAATCTTTCACAATGAAAAATTTTAAAAATGTGTAGAAACCTTCATGGGGTATCTAATGCCAAAGAAAAGTCCTGATAACCATTTTTGATTCAAATTTTATTGTACGCAATTAAAAAAAAATTTTTTTCTTAAAAGAGGTTGTGAGGAAAATAGCTCATTCTACCTAGTGGTATCCTATGTTATTACAACCATTCTGAATAGATATGCTAGTCTCGAAATAAATTAGACCAGTGCTGTTTCTTTCAAAGGCATATTTTAGCTAACAGTAACATCTCACTTATTTGCAACCACTCAAATATCTGGAAAAAAATTAAAAGCTAATTTTTTAAAACTTAGCAAAATTAGATGTCACAGAAGTTCAAACATAGAACCATGAATAAACAAACTTTTTATACAAAGTTTGCTTACCTTCATTTTATACATTGATTCTAAGCAGCTGGTTTTAGCCCACAGACTACTAGATGCGGTAAGTCTGTGGTCCCCAACCTCCAGGCTGCAGAGCTTCCCCCGCCATCCATGGAAAAATTGTCTTCCATGAAATCGGTCCCTGCTGCCAAAAAGGTTGGGGACTGCTGCAAAAAAAGTTCTAAGAAGCAGGCCAATTACCATGTAAACAATGTGACAGCTAATAGGAAGATTTCAAAATCTCGGTTTGAGACCAGCCAGATGACGGGCAAACGATTCTTATACTGCCCTCTCTAGCTTCTGAGAGCTGCTACTCTACAAAAATCAATGATTACATTGATGACAACCCTGAGCCACTAAGAAAGATTCAACTATGTACTATTAAGCAAGCCTGGGAGAAAAAGGGAAAGATTATAAAAAAATACCCTTTAAAAATGACTTTTTAGAATTTTGCCACTTAATGGAGTGGGACTCATTATCTCAACATTTCATTTATATAAAATATCAGAATCTCTATGAAGGCAGACTTATGATTTATTTAAGAGACTATACTATCAACATAAATAGTGCAAGCATGAGCATAATAACTATAGCAACATAACTCTCATTACAAGGTATTTATGAATGAAATTTAACTTTGTAAAGAAAGTTAATGACAAGAACCTTACACTGTAAGTTGGCAACTTTGTTTCATATTTAAATTATTTCATTTAAATTTTGGAGGAAACTGATGAAAGAAAGGAGATCAAGTAGCCAGGTATTGCTAATCTTGTGGCATCAAGCCCCAAACTCTCTGTTTTAATATTAAGGTGAAATTTAATGTGAAAGAGAATGACAAAGAGAGTTATTAACTTGAAGGTATGCCATGCTGAGCTCTTGTGGAACCTCAAAAGTATCTCCTGCCTAAATTTCCAATATTAAACAGCTATTCCTACAGGTAATAAGCAATTTCTTACATTGTAAAGAAATACTTTTATTATTAAATATTTCAAGTATAGAGAAAAGCATAGAAAATAAATGGCTTATTTACTGACCATCCAAATTTATTAAATTGTACCAACTGTATCTTTCAGATGCAATTGAAACCCCATATATATTCCTCCCCAATCTTATTCTTCCTCTCTCCTCCAAGGTAACCACTCTTTTGTCTTTTTTTATCTTCCTTATGGATTTGTTTAAATTTTTACATCAGAATCTATCTCTAAACAATGTATATTCTCTTGTTTGTCCTGGTTTTATACTTTATATAAATGATACCACACTGTACATTTATTCCTGCAATGTGCTTTTAAGATTATCTGTGTTGGTAAATGTAGCTATACATATGGTATTGTATTATATGGATTATCATGATTTCTTCACTTTCCTGCAAAAGGACATTTATTTAGGTGGTTTCTAACTTTTTGCTCTTATTAATAAGCTTGCAGCGAATATCCTTGTACATGTGCAAAAGTTTCTCTAGGGCTTTTATCTAGGAGTGTAATTGATAATTCAAAGGGCATTTCTTGATATTTCCAGATTCTTTTCCAAAACAGTTGTTCCAAATTTATACTGTTACCATGATGGCATGAAGTTTCCAGTGCCCCACATCATCCTCAACAATCTAATTTGTATAAAATGTCCTCTCACTTGTGTTCCTTATTATTACTAAGATTAAACATTTTTAATAAGTTTATTTGCCAAGCATAACCATTTTGTAATGATTCTCTTATTTCTGTTTTTAAACTATTATTCCAATTAATATTAATTTACCTTAATATTTAAATTAAAATATTTAAATATTTAATGTAATAAATAAGTTCAGAGAAAAAGAAGCTAAACCTCCAGAAAACAAGTAGATTTGGGTCAGGTTTAAAAAGCTGAAATCAACCGGAGATTAAATTTTTAAAAATTAAATGTAGGCTGGGTGCTGTGGCTCACACCTGTAATCCTAGCACTTTGGGAGGCCAAGGTGGGAGGACTGCTTGAGGCCAGGAGTTCAAGACCGGCCTGAGCAAGGGTGAGACCCCGTCTCTACAAAAAAATAGAAAATTTAGCTGGGCATGGTGGTGTGAGCCTGTAGTCCCAGCTACTGGGGAGGCTGAGGCAGGAAGATCAATAGCCCAGGAGTTTGAGGTTGCAGTGAGCTCTGATGATGCCACTGCACTCTAGCCCATGCAACAGAGCGAGACTTTGTCTTTAAAAAACAAAAAACTAAATATACGTTCTACACTTATAAATTAGGTACAGGAGCCAGCACTTACTATTAATACATCCTGAATGTGCTTCTGAATGCAGCCTCTCCTCCAATAGGTTATAAGCTCTTTAACGATTCAAATATTGTCTCATTTATCTGTATACACCAGCATAGTGTCTGACACACAGTAGGCACTCAATCAATAATTGACTAATGGACAAAGAATGGGAGAAGTGGTCTAAATGGGCTGATAAATCATTCTTACAAGCAACTGGCCATCACTGTATATGCAACACTTCATATTGCTTTTTTGCTTAGAGATAAAGAATTTGGTATAGCTGAGCTATGGAGTGGAGGAAGCCACTTCTAAACAGAGCTGAGTTACTTCTTTGGTGGGGATGAACAATGTACAATACAAACAATGAGAGTGAGTATGGGTTGTTTATCACTCAAATTAGAAGTGCAGTTTGCAGTAGAAATATATTTTGCCAAACCTTTAAACAACTGGTCCATAGCTGAAGCTGAGTAACAGGTAAAAGCGATCATGGAAAATTAAAACCCAACTCTTATTTAAGGTTTCTCCTTCTAAGTTTAAATGAAGAAACACTTGGGGGAAAAAACAGTGATAGGTAAGGTTGAAATCTAATAAAGAAGATAGTTGGCTTGCTGGTGCCAGTCTCCATGAAGATGTACATCACAATCACATAGGGATCATTTTCAAAATACACAGGCTAGAGCCCTACCTTAGATCCATTAAATGAGAGTCTATTCGGGGTGATGCTCAGCTTTAGATATACTGAATAAGCACCCCACGTGACTCCAAAGATTATGTACCAAGGTAAGTGGCTCTCAAACTTTAATGTCCATCAGGCGACTACCTTGTAGAGCTTCCCATCATTTCCCTCCTCACCACCATGACCACCACCACAATCACCTCAATGTCATAGTCATTAACCATTTATGATAAATTACACCAAAAAGAATATCCCTACTATATTAAATATTTCCCTTAACTGAGGAAATAGGAATTCTGATAGAAGGAAGGAAGAATGAAACAAAATAATTTTGAACTATCAAAGGAGGATAGATAGGACTTAAGCAGCTACAAGGCTCACAGCTACAACAGGGAAGTGGGAGAACTCTGATACAATAAAACTTTGATTACCTCCCAGGTTTTTGTTAGCTTCTAATATTAGAAGGGACTAGGTATTTGGTAGGTCAAAAAAACACGGTTGTCACCAATATCCATCAGATTCATTTACAGAGGTCTGTAATCAATGTTTCTTTCACCATTATAATACCTATTTTACTTTTTCTGCAAAATATTGTCATAGGTTAAAACAATTTATTTACATTATAATAGGCTTACTTAACACAATATTGCAACAGATAATTTCCCATGGGTTGGCTACACTTCCTAAAGAGAATAAATGATGACAGAAGTAAGATTACACCTTTGTTCTAGAAGAAATCACAACTTACTAAGAAGTAAAAATAGATGGAATAATAGGTAGGAAAAAAACACACCAAAAGAAAGGAAGCTAAAAAACAAACAAAATATGAAAAAATAAATATGCATATACTAACAGAAAATACATCAAAAGAATAAAGTTTCCCAGTAATTTCCTATCCTTTATCTTGATTTGTCCAGATTCATTTTCTTGGTATATCTAAAAGAATACTTACAAGGAGAATAAAAATGAAAATTAGAAATAGATGTGAAAACAAACCATAGGAAAAATTATCATTAAACAACTTAGCTTCTGAATGACAAAGATTATTTATCCTTCCTTATAGCATGTATGAGACTTAACTGATGGCAGTTAAGAAACATTAGACTTTAAAATTTCTTAAATTAAAATTTTTCCTTATTTTAGATATTCCTAACTTCATATCTGGAAGGAAAAACAAAAACTGCATCTTAAAAATGTTTTAAATTAATTAAACTTACTTTTATGACTTGCATAGGTCCAAAGTTGTGTCTGCTTTTGTGTTTTTACTACATCAAATGGTAAAGTTACAATGGCTGCAAACTATTAGAAAGTAAAATTAATTTAAATCAATCTTTTAATTTTTCCTAAAATATTTTTACATTCTTCTAATTAGCACATTATTTAATAAGTAAGGACATTAATGCAAATCATAACTAAATTACAGTTTAAAATAAAACCTTATACATTTAAACAAAACTTTTTTATTAAAGAAATTAGGTATATGGCATATGTATTTATCACAAAAGTTTCTCAGAAAAGTTCCCTTACATTCCTGAGGTCACACAGCTAACTAATGGCAGAGCTAGAATTCCAACTAGACCTCTGTGACTCCAATACCAGTATTCACAACTTCTGATACTCCTGTGTGTTCCACTGTTCCTTTATTTCACATGAAGGTATAATACATATGTCAAAGTAGAAATTCTCAAGTATCTAAGTAGGCATTTAAAATGTTCCAGCAAATATTTTAAAAATAGAATAAAAAATTAAATTTAAATAAAGAAAATGGATTTTGAACTTTTAGTTCTATATAACTTTTAAAAATATATTTATATGTTTATGTATGTATATATTAAATATAGTTACAATGATTAACAAATGACATTTTTTTCCTATGAATGATAAAAACTACACACAAATCACATTTTTAAAACCTTTTCTCAAAATGACTTAATGTCTTAAGGGAGGTTTTGTTGTTTTTTTTTTTTTTTTAAAGAGTAAATTCCTTTAATAATGTTCTTACAATATTTGATACAACAGCTAGCAAGGTAAAATTTGGTTTCTATTTTTTTGCTTCCCGACTTGTATTTGGCCAATAGGTTCATAAAATGCCCCTTAAAATAACTTATATTTTATTTCACTGCAACAATTTGTTGATTTAAGTTCTTGACAACATTTTCAAAGATCTCAGGTAAAATAAAATCAACTATTGTTTCTCCATCTCCATAATCTATCATATAGTAGCTACAGTGTTATACAGGCCTCTTTGATGCTTTCTAAAATGAGGTTGTTTAGGCTGTTCTGTTTCCGACAAAAAGCCTGGACACTGTCACATTCATGTGCTTTTTCTATTGCTGAGACAAATCTTTATTTGAAAACTGTCAAAGGCAGCAACATTTTCTAGATCTTTAAAAAAATCATTAAAGAAAATAAATTTTCTATGTTAAATAGAAATAGCAAAATTGAGAACTTTCCTTCATATTAAAAACTGGTACAACCTCCTGAAACCTTTATTCAACAATACCAATTGCTTCTATGACTCAATAGATTTATAATCCACTAGGATTAATCCTGACAGATCTTAAACCTGGGAATATTCATATCTAAGTTTTGAAATCAATTGCAGTGGATTCCTCAGCCTAGGTTTTCTGATCTATTATTCCAATATTTTTCTGCGGGTCTCTATCACTTCACTCTACCCCCCTCACTCTTGTTTTTATGTGGTTCCAATATGTTAGTGTCTCACTGTAACTTACCAAAAATTCACTTTCAAAGTATGTGGGTGTAAGAAAACTATTTATGGCCAAGGTCACAGTGATATCAATCCGCATAAATTCCACTACATGACTATATGACTTTCCATCATATGGAGGGTTGGAATAAGATGAACTCTCTACTACCCAAAACGGTCATTTCAGATTCCTCCCTTCTGATTGTAATTTTTGTTCAATTTCTTTTCAAAAGTACTTAGTGGGCCAAAATGTTTCCAAAGAAAAGAAATTAGCAGCAGAGGATGAAACTGCTTTTATTCAATTATACATTTGGGAGGACATTCCATGAATTACTACCTAATCAGATCTACTAGCATTTATTGAACTAATGTATTGTAAATATTCTGTAAATATTTAAAAAAGCACTATTTAAAGTATTATCATAGTTGTAATGATCTAACAAATCCAAAAATTTCTCAGAAAAATATAATGTATTTGTAATGTGAAAACATAAACACAAAGTATATTTAACTATCTTAATGGCTAATAATTTCCTTAAAATCGTATGGTAAGGATGGTAAATACTTAGAAAAATTTTAAAGCAGTGCAGCCCAAAAATGCTATCTCAATATAAATGAAATGCTACACAATATTCTGTTCCATTTTAGTAAGACAATTATCATTTTTCTGGAATATTAGTAACAAAAAAAATAAACTTACAGAACCAGACAATGCCCCTGAAGTAAAGTTGATCATAAATGTCGGTTCATATAAGCCAGATTTCTCACAAAACCACTTCTTTAAAATTTCATAGTTATACCAGTACATTGCTATAACAACAGAGAATGAAATGAACACATATTTAGAAATAAAATGTGGACTTTAAAGATTTAGGAGCTTATATATTACAGAAATAGAAAAATCCTAACCTTGACACACCTTCCTTTCTGCTTAGAAACCCACTAGGTGGAATTTCTTTTAAAAAGGAGTGAAATTCTCAGTAATATTCTAGCAGTCTCATAAACAAACAAAAAAAGCATCAGTAAAGTGGGCTGTAATTCAAAAATCTGATAAGGACAGTAGGATAAAGGAAAAAAGTAAAGGCCAATCTATTAACGAACACTGGTATAAAATTCCTAAAAAATTAAAATGGTAATAAGCAAAGGGAAGCCATAGGTACTTCCTAAAAGACTGTACACTATGACTAAGGTGGGTTACCCCAGAAATGAAAAGGTATTTAATATAATAAAAATTTTAAATGTCATATACCATGTTAATAAAACCATAGAATCATCTAATGATGACGAAAAAGCATTTCATAAAATTCAACACTCTTATTTAAAGCGAACAGATTTCTTGGAAACCTAGAGATAAAAGGAGACTTCTTTAACTTGATAAAGAACATGCATCAAAAATCATTAATGGTGAAACAAAAGAATTATTTCCTTTTAAATGAGGAAAATGATAGGGATGCTAACTATTGTAACTAATATTCAAAACTGTATTCAGCAGCAAGACACGAAGAAAAGCTACGATGGTTAAAAATGGTGACACAAAACAGTTATAATTTACATATATTATTGTATACATACAAAACCAAAAAGACAAAATTAGAACAGAATTTTAAAAGGTAGCTGGATATAAGCTAATAGACAAAAATCAACTGCAACTGCACCAGCTACAAAGATTTAGAACACATATATTTTTTTTTTAAAATAGAACTTTTAAAATAGCTACCAAAAGTTGAGTGTGGGGTATACTTATAAATAAATCTTTGGAAAAAAGATGAATATAATCTTTATGAAGAATATTTTAAGTCTCTACTAAAATACTTTAAAGAAGATTATTAATATAAAGATATGACATTCCTAAGGAAGAAAAATAAGGTGACATCAAGGTTTTTCATAAAGCACTAGAGTAGTAATTCAGTGTGGTACTGACACGAAGTTAGACAAATTAACCAGTGAAACAGATCCAGGAATACATGAAAATGTGATATAACAGAGGTGATACCGCAGCCCCCTGGAGCAACTATGGTTATTCAATAAATGATGCTGGGACAACTAGCTATCTGTGTGGGGAAAATGAAATTGAATACTTATTTCAGTCCATAACTCCAAATCAATTATGAATAAATGAATAGACAGTGAAATAGAGCCCAAACTTAATAATCAAAGAAATGCAGTTTGAGTGAGTTACCATTTTAAATTACTATACATACAAAAATTAAGAACTTAGACAATGAAAGAGTTGATAAGGGTGTAAAGCCGCAGGAAATCTCATATATTGCTGGTAATGTATAGATCCAGACAATCACTTTAGAAAGGAGTTTGATATCACCTAGTAAATTAGAAATGTATTTATTTTTATGAACCAACAATTCTAATACTGGAGGGACATTCACAGGTGCACCAAGAGAATGTTTTCCATAGCAGCATTGTTTACTTGTTTACTCATATAAACAAGCAAAATGAAAAGTTTATATTAATATCTGTTTATATAAAAAGAATATATAAAAACGAATGAATCTTAGAAAAATTTTTGAGTTACAGAATTTTTAAAAATAGGTAAAACTAAATGATATATTGTTTAGCAATAATAAACACATGGGAAAGCTATTTTTTTTTTTTTTTAAAATCGAAGGAGGCTGCGTGCGATGGCTCACGCCTTCCCTCAGTGCTTTGGGGGCTAAGGCGGGAAGATCACTTGAGGCCAGGAGTTCAACACCAGCCTGGGCAACATAGCAAAACCCCATCACTACAAAAAATGAAAAAATAAGCTGAGTGGTGGCATGCACCTGTCCAGTAGTCTAGCTGACATGTAATGATCATTTGAGCCCAGGAGTTCCAGGTTATAGTGAGCTATGATTGTGCCACTGCACTCCAGCCTGGGCAACAAAGCAAGCAAGACCCTGTCTCAAAACAAAAACAAAAACAGATGAAACAGATGAATGATAAAAATTCAGTATAGTAGTTACCGCTGGGGATGTGACAGTGAAAGAGCATACATGTGGTTTCATGATTAAAAAAAAAGTACAATGTTTTAGCACATATATTGAGTTGGTAAGTTCACAGGTGTTAATTTTATTAGTATACTTCATAACCTATATCTGTTATTTTTGTGCACTATTCTACAATAAAAAAGTAAAAAGTAAAGAAAACATAATTGCCAGAGAAAATTATGATTAACTATATACTGTATGTTTCTAAACAGCATAAATGAACATAAAAGGTTGGCAATTTTATAAAAGTACAATGGAAAGGGAAAGATGCATAGAGACGTGGATGAGAAAGCACAAAAAAAGGATTAAGAAAAGGAAAAAAAATAAACAGGAACATTAATACAAGGGTTCTCAATAAGTATTTCTTTCAGGTCTTAAATGGAAATTTCTATGATCCACAAGAGAAATACCACTGAAGCATACACATTCTGCAAATTATTGTTAAATTTTCACTTTTCATGGTTTTCTCTCTTTTTATAATTCAAAGATTAGGACAATCACCTACTTGATTTATAATATTCTTTTAAATGTTTATTTTTAATAATTGAAGAAGTAGGAGTCCATATAATTCAAAGGTGGTCTTAAATGGATTCTATAATATTTTGATTTGAAATAGTTTACTTACAATTATTTAGAATAATGTTAAATGACTTATTTAGAATAATGTTAGATAGTTTGCATTCTCTGAATATGAATACCCATCAATCAATGTTTAAAAGAAAATCAAACACATGGAAAAAAGAAAACTGGGTTTGAAGTATTAATAAAAACTATTCATTCAATAAAGGCTCATAAAGATCTGAGAACTCAACAACTCTTGAACTAGAAGTTTGTGTACACTACAGAAGATAACTTACACCTTTTAACTGTAAAGAGTTTAAAATCTAGTTAAATTAATATATGAATAATAACAAAGCTACCTAAAATTTAGTAGATACTAATAGGATAAATCCTACCTGAGAAAGGTACATCTCTTAGAACAGTAGGAGCCCAGCCCCTCCAAAGGGAAATCCAACCATCTTCAGACACTTTCTTGCTGACGAATTGATGCAGTTCCTTGTAAGAAAATTTCTTAGACTGCATCTTGGTTCTAATCAATTCTAATGGACTTATCACAGTAACTGCACCAACTAATACAAATAAGCAAATAAAAGAAAACAAAAACAAAATCATGAACTATGCAGGCACAGATGCAAAAATTCTAAAATGTCTGAAAACCTTAAAATCAAATATCTAATGATGTCAACATATTTGCACAGATTTTTTTCCCTTGATAATGGTATTTCTTAAAAGTCTATTTTCATATATCTTAGTTTTTCCGGTTTCAACTCTTTCAAGAGCAGTTCCAGAAATGTTATAATCAATTAGAACTATTACAAAAACTCATTCCAGTTACCGCCCCAATAAACCTCATTCCTATTCACCAAGAAAAACATTCTTTTGCATAGAAGCAAATTTACTTCTGACAAAACTCTAAATCCTAAAATCTATAAGGAAAATGATTCAGGACTTTGGCCTGAACCATGTATGATCTCAAATGACACTTTGGAAGTCCAGGTGAATCATTCTAAAAACTCTATCCAAGATTTGACCAAGATAGGCTGATCCCATCTCCCTCTGATGGCAATCACCATACCATGTGACTTCTGGAGTATAGATATTAACATATTAGGACATATAGTAAACTATAATGCAAAATATATCTTACCAATACTACATACATCATACAAATTCTCTGTGAATGTGAGAATTTAAACAGAAGCTCTAAACTAAATCAAAATGAAAATAAAGATTTATTACTTACTTCTGGCTACAATTCCAGCAACAATTGGTATGCGGGTTTCATTTTCTCCTAATTTAGATCTCAGAAGAGCAGTTAATTGATCATAGCAAGTAAAATAAATAACTGTGGCAGGAACTGCCATCACTCTGGTTAGAAACACACACAAAAAAATATTTGTTCAAAATTATCAAAAGGTCTCAAACATATGCAAATTAAATTCAAATATAAGTTTAAAAAACCTTATATTTTATATAAGTTAAAAACCACAACAAATCAGCCTATGAGATCAATTTTTCTTGTATTTTAAAATTAATTAGTGCTTAACTTAGTAGGCAATAAAAAGATACAAAATAGGCATCCCTCCTCCAAAGTTTACATTCTGGTTGTGAAAATAGTTACAGTATATAACAGTAAATAAAATCTATATAACCAAACTTAGATCACATAAAAATCACATGCTCAGGTCATAAATAGGAAAAGATAAAGTAGGACACTTCTCCATCTCCTGGACTTGTCCTGTTTCTGGTCTCCCAGATCTTTCCTAATTACATTTACCACAACATGAGAATCACTTAAATAAAAAGTACATAAGCAACTGTAAAACACTGTTGAACTGTGTGGCCCTATGGCCCACATAGTACACCTGCTTATAACTGGAAATAAATTACAAATAACATCACCAGAGTTATATACACTAGTTTTCAGGGAATTCTAACAACATATTCTTTTAAAGGAAATTATCAAAAGGGGAATTATTAATTAAATTAAAAGTTGCAGGCACTGTCATGTCATAAATATTAATGCAATAAGAAAGTAGTCTGTTTATGGCCTAACTATAGGACATTCAAAGACCATTGCTTAGAATGCCTAATGTTCTATATAATGAAGTTTGATGCTGAGCAGGACTGACTGGTAGTCTTGGACCTGACACTAATTTTATAACCGTAGGCATTGTTTAAAATATTTGCCTCAAAATTGATGAATTTCCTCCAATTGCCTATTTTATACCTTTTTATTGCCTACTACAAAAAGGATAAAAGAAATTCTTATTAATAAATGAGGCTGAGAAAACCAAGGTATTATAAGATATTAATATTTAGGACTTTTACATATGACCTTTACAGTTTATCATATTAATTCATAAAATCACTAGTAATAGAGAATTAAAATTATCTGGAGAAGGGAAAGTATACATATTACAATATATCTTACTATTTTAGTAAAACAAAAAGTCAAATAAACATCAAATATTTAATCTATGAAAATGAAAAAATTTACTGTATGCTTGTGCAGCAAAGACTTAACACAGCTGGCTTGGTTGCTCAACTCTTCTGTATCACCAGAAGGGCCTGTTTGTGTGCCTGACCTTTGGACAACTCATGGGAATTTAGCTCTTGGAATGTTCCCTACGATAAGGTTTTTTTGTATGTGTGAAGCACCAAACCAATTGCTCTAGGTTGATTTGTTCCAACAATGTGATTTACGGTAAATATCTGCTCTCCTATGGGATCTGAAGTTTTGCTAATCACAGCTGGTCTCAAAGACAGAATGTACCTATATGAACAATGCCCAATAAAAGTCCTACACTTGGAAACTCCTTTGAGTTTCAAAGCATTTCCCATGGCAGAAACACTTTGCACACTCTGCAGTTCATTGCCAGCAGAATAAAGCAGGTCCTATGTGACACCATGAGGGGAAAATTTTGGAAACCTGTATCTGGTCAACCCCAGGTGTGTGTTTTTACCTTACCATTGGGCTTTGTATCTTTTTGCTATAATAAACCATTTCTATGAGTATAACCTCTTTAGGTCTTGTGAGTCCTTCCATCACATTGTCAAATGGTGGGTGGTTGTGAGACTCACAAAGCAATGCTTCAGAAAATGAAGGAGTTCTATTATTAAAAATGCAAGACTTTGTCAAACCATGCTGATACCAGATAAAACAAAATGAAAATCATCTTTTAATAGGAGAAATATTAAATTTCAACTTACAGGGTAGGAGGAAGACCACTCCATAGGGATTTAATGCCCTCATTTCGAACAATTTTTAAAAAGGCATCCTAAAATTGTAATTTAAAAAGTAATCAAAATATATCCCTAAACCTGACACACAAAAATTTACAGTGATAACTGATTGGTAATTTTATTCTTTCAAGCATTTATTTCTAAAAAATGAGCTTCTTGGATTTATGTATGTCCATTCTTTTAAAAAAGGGAATTTTAACACAAGTAAAATGACACATTTCTTGGTTAATACTAACTTCTTACAGAATAAAGTCTTTATTACTTAGCTCTGGATTGTTCTACTTAGGGCTCAGAAACAAAACTTTTGAAACACTATTATAAAAAAGGAAGTAGAGCAATGGCAGAGAATTGGTTAGATAAACTTTCCTGATCAACTATGAAATCAGAGAAAATATTATTAAAGCCCACTATCTGAAATCTCTAGAAAGGAACCAAAAGCAACTGAAGTCTTCTATTAATAGACAAACTCTTACAATTTAATAATAAAAAGACAAAAAAATTAAAAATTGACAAAAGATTGAATAGATACTTCTCCAAAGACATACAAATAGCCAATAAGCACAGGAAAAAATGTTCAATATCACTGATAATTATAGAAATGCAAAGCAAAACCACAATGAGATATCACTTCATACCCATTAGATAAGGTAACAATAATAAATACTGGTGAGACTGTGGAGAAACTGGAACCTTTACATATTGCTGGTGGGAATGTAAAATGGTGTAGCCACTTTGGTAAACAATCTGGCAATTTCTCAAAAGATTAAACATAGTTACTATATGACCTAGTAATTCAAACTCCAGGTATATATTCAAGAGAAATTAAAACACATGTTCACACAAAATTATATCCAAGAGAAATTAAAACACATATTCACACAGAAGTTTGAACGTTCACAGCAGCATGAATTATTCCAAAACGTAGAAATAACCCAGATGTCTATCAACTGATGAATGGATAAATAAAATATGATATATTTATATAATGGAATATTACTTGGCAATAAAAAAACTGATACATGCTACAATATGGATGAATCTTAAAACAATGTGCTAAATAAAAGAAGCCAATCACAAAGGACTGCATATTTTCCCAGGAAAGGGGAACCTCAGTTAGACAGAAAACTTTTAGACAACAACCACTCCACTCTAACCAAATACCAAAGAAAAACCCATGGCACCACCCAGACGCATACCAGCAAAGGCCAAGTAGGTAGTCTAGACTGCTACCCTTGTAAGGCTGTAATGAGGCACTATAATACCTTTGTTGGGGTAGTATCACAGAAGGTCAGTAGAGAACCAAGACTTTTATCCCTATCAGGTCAGCAATTAGTCTCCCCCACTACTCCCTGTGAGGGTGGTGTTAGAGGAGCAGCAGTGAAGAGTCAGGACTTTTGACATCACTCAACAGTAAGGAAGCCACCCCACTACACAGTCAGTGAAAACCATGTGCAGAGCCAGAACTCTCATCCCTGCTCCTCAGTAAAAGAGGTCTTCCCTCACACTGTGTCAATGGAGGCTGAGTGGGAAATCTGCACTTCTAGCTCTATCCAGCAGTAACAAGGAGGCATCCCTCTTCCTCTATGGTAGCAGTGTCAGAAAAAGCCAGTTAAAATAGAATGTTTAAGTGAGATTAAGAAGTTCATGAAAGAATCCTCAAAATATCTGGGGTTCAACTGAAAATCACTCATTCTAAGAATCAGAAAATGTCAAACTGAATGAAGATAGAAAACAAATAGATGCCAATGCTGAGATAAAAGAGATGATAGAATTATCTGACAAAGATTTTAAAGCAGCCAATGTAAAAATCATTGAATAATCATTTAGAAGCATGCTTGAAAGAAGTGAAAAATTAGAAAGCCCCAGCCTCATAAGAAATATATACAAAAAAACACTGCAGATCAAAATGGAATTCTAAAAATTGTTCAAATAACACAGAAGGCAGGAAAAATAAAACAGAAGTAGAAAATAGAACTAAGAGAAAATAAAAAACAAAATGGTAGGCTTAAGCCCTAACATATCCATTACTGCATTAATATAGTAAATCTAAGTATATCAATTAAAAGATGAAAACTGACAGACTGGATTTAAAACATGACTCAATTATATGCTGGGCAAAAATTTGCAAACCACACATTCAACAAAGGAATAGTATCTGGAAACTCAACAGCAAAAATTCAGAACAATTTAATTAGAAAATGGTTAAAGAAGTCCAGGCATGATGGCTCATGCCTGTAATCCTAGCACTTTGAGAGGCCAAGGTAGGAGGATGGCTTGAGCCTAGAAGTGTGAGGCTGCAGTGAGCTACAATGACGCCACTGAGCTCTAGCCCAGGCAACAGAGCGAGACCCTGTCTCAAAAAAAAAAAAGCAAAAACAAAAACCAAAAAAATACTGGTCAAAAGACATGAACAGCCAATTCACTGAAGAGGATATACTGATAGCAAATAAGCACATGAAAAGATGTTCAACATCATTAGCCACCAGGAAATACAAATTAAAACCACGAGATATCTCTACACATCATAATTGTTACAATAAAAACAATGACACCACTAAATGTTAGTAAAGATGTGGAGAAATTGAGTCACTCATATTTTGCTAATGGGAATGTAAAATGGTAGAGCCAGTCTAGAAAATAGGTTGGTAGTTTCTTAAGCTCCTAAACATGCAACTATCATGTGACTCAGCAACTGTACTCCTAAGGCATTTTTATCAGAGGAATGAAGACTTACTTTCACACAAAAAAAACTGCAAGTGAATGTTTGTAGCAGCTTCATTAGTAATAAGCAAAAACTGCAAAGAATTCTAAAAACAAACTGTGGTACAACCATAACATGAAATAATCCATACCATGACCAATAAAAAAAGAACAAATGATTGATTCATGCAACAACCTGGATAAATCACCAGATAATTATGCTAAGTAAAGAATGACAACCCCAAAAGGCTACGTATGTTTAGATTCCATTCACATAACATTTTTTAAATGACAAAATTATAAAAATGGAGAACAGATCAGTAGTTACCAAGGGTTAAGGAGTAGGTGACAGCACAAGGGAAGTGGGTATGGCTCTACAAGGAAAACGGAAGGATCCTTGTGGTAATGGAATTATTCTTAATTTTAATTGTATCAGTGTCAATATCCTGGTTGTGGCATTGTATTAGTTTTGTAAGATGTTACCACTGGGGGAAATAGGGAAAAGCCTCCATGAATCTGTGTATTTTTCTTAAAATTACATGTGATCAATCTACAATTATCTCAAAATAAAAAAGTTTAGATTAAAAAAAGTTACTCCCCCTTTTTTACATGAAAAGCATGAACCAATGAAAAGAAAGTTAACAAAAGGTTAAAAAGCAAAATAGTACTTTTCTTTTCCTGCTTTAATATGATTTTTTACTCTATTGCAATTAGAAAATCTTTCATATATAAGATTAAATATAAAAATAGAAAATATACTGAGATTCTAAGTAATATAATCTTCTTACCAATGTTCCTTGGAAATTTCCTGGCTTCTTATACCATACTTTGTTGGCTTCCTCTTCACAGACACATAGATGATCCATGAGTCCATTACTATATACAAAACATTTTCCTAACAAAGAAGATTCCAATAGCCAATAATTAATTCACAAAACTGTATTATTTTTACAGATGAACAAACTGAAATTGGGGACTAAAAAATATGAAAAGAGAAATAACCACGAAACAGATAAATAACTATTTCTACTTTTTAGGATAAAATATACATAATTTGCTTCATGCTATGGCAATGGACTCTAAACTCACAGTTGTGAAAAGTAATGGAATAAATTAGTACATATTATGTTTTCAAAACTGTAGAAAGAAGAAAACGTACAAAGGAGTAAATTCTTTCAGGTTATCTGAGAGACTGAAGAAGGAAGAGAAAGGAAGAAAATCTGGAAAAGAGAATATGGGTGCATGTCTTCTCTATTTGTGCAGAAGAAAACTTTGTGGTCTGGAAGGGAAATTCAGACAAAAATAGATTATGAAAAGAAAAGTTCTTATGAATATAAATAATGCTATGTTTTGTCTCTTTCTCTGTATTTGTACTACTCATTCTAGCCATCTGTCAGCTCCCACCTAATTTAGTACAAGTTCCTCTAATAAACTCTTTCCTATTTATTGGCCTCATTCTTGCTGCCAAAAATTGTCATGTCTGTTTGATAGTATTTAATGCTGTGAGTTTCATAATACGTATGTGTCTGAGTGTCTCCTTCTGCTTTTAAGGCTTTCTTTAATGTGTACCTCTTTAGTCTCTTCCTACAATCCATCTATCCTTTCATTCGTCTGTTGTTCATTCCATTTCAATGCTATGCATTTAATAAGGTGGCATTTATATCTGAGCCAATTTTCTAATAGTCTAAACAGTCTATTTCTTACTATGTAAATATGTTTGAAATGCCATTATCTTTATAAAGCTGTAAAAGACTGACCCAGGAATGGCTATTTTTTCCCCTCTTATAAAAATATATAATTACTTTTCTCAAATTCCACATAAACTACTATTTAGTAATTAACCAAGCCACCTGATAAAATAATAAATTTCCAATCACTGTATTCAAGCAACAGTTCGATGATTATCATGAATGCTCTAGGACAGGCACAGCTCTTGGGCAAAGAAGTAAGCTAGAGTCTAAGGTCCCTAACAAGTATAATTTTGTTCTTACCTATGAGACATACATCCAAATATATAATCATCCTCTCTTTTAATTAGTAGGTCCATAAAACTGTTATATATATGTTTTTCTGTCTATACTTCATCATGTACAACTAAATATAGAAAAAAATGTTTCTGCATGAGGACAAAGAGGCAACAATTTTAATAAATTAACAAAATGAATGATGCTCAAACAAAAATGAATGCAGTGACATTTAAAAATCTAACAACATTTTCAAGATAACTAGTGTACATACCTTTGGGGAATGGGTTGTTTTGGGCTTGGAGTCGAATTTTAACAACATCCAGAGGTGTCACTATGAATATACATAAGTATCAATTAGCAAGTGATACCTATAAACTGTACAGACATTTGCCGAAGAACACAAAATGCATCTATTCATATTTTTCCTCATAGCTATATAATGGTTATAAAATTGTCTATGTTAAAGTAGTCTTGAATATAACATTCTAATTTTTTTGCCCTTGAATTTGCTTTAAAGAGGATCAGTGAAAGACATACTATAATTACTTCTCTCAAGGGTATGAAATTGTCATTTATAATATTTTTATAAATACAATTCCATTAGTATTAAAACTAAAACTACTAATATTTATAAGAAAATTGTTCTCTAAGGTAAGGTAAGGAGTAAAAAGTTCCAAAAGTCTATTTAAATATTTGAGAATAACTTTGTATTACAAGTAATTGATAATCAAAATGTTATTAGCTTCACTAATCTGATAAATCTACATGTATCAAATAGGAGCTACAGGTAGTAAAAATTTGAGTAAGCTGGCCATAAATCATCTTTAGCACCAGGTTGTGTTATTCCATTTGGAAACAGCATAGTGAAGGAAAGTGGTTTTAATATGCATGCTATATCTTATCCTAGTAGTAGAAAATGCCAAATAATGGTTCTAAGAAAACTTTTGCTTATCTGAGAATGAGGACAGTCACATTAGACGAACTCTAAGGCCTTTTCCACCCTAAATTCTGACCAGAAAATACTACATCATAAGTACTTTGTTCTAATCATTTATCTTATTTAAATAAACTAGCCAACCTAACGTATCTCAAAATTACGAAAGCCATATATGACAAACCCACAGACAACATCATACTGAATGGGGAATAGTTGAAAGCATTCCCACTCAGAACTGGAACAAGACAAGGGTGTCCACTATCACCACTTCTATTCAACATAATGCTGGAAGTCCTAGCCAGAGCAATCAGGCAAGAGAAAGAAAGAAAGGGTATCCACATCCAGAAAGAGGGGTATTACTTTTCACTGACAATATGACCTTGTATCTAGAAAACCCCAAAGACTCCCCAAGAGACTCCTGGAATTGATAAATAAATTCAGGAAAGTCTCGGGTTACAAAATCAATGTACACAAATCAGTAGCATTTCTATATATTATACCAGTAACAGTCAAGATGAAAGTCAAAGACTCAATGTCATTCACAATAGCTACAAAGAAAACAAAATACCTAGGAATATACTTAACCAAGGAGGTGAAAGATCTCTACAAGGAGAACTACAAAACACTTGAGGAAAGAAATCACAGATGACACAAACAAATGGAAAAACATATTCTCATGGATAGGGAAAATCAACATTGTTAAAATGACCATACTACCCAAAGTGATTTACAGATTCAATGCAATCCCTATGAAAATGCCAACATATTTCACAGATCTAGAAAAAATAATTCTACGCTTAGTTTGGAACTAGAAAAGAGCCTGAATAGCCAAAGCAATCTTAGCAAAAAGAACAAATCTGGAGGCATCACATTACCAGACTTCAAATATACTCTAAGGCTATATTAATCAAAACAGCATGGTACTGGCACAAAAAACTGATATAGACCAATGGAACAGAACAGAGAACCCAGATATAAAACCATCTACCTACAGCAAATTGATCCTTGACAAAGACGACAACAACATAACACTGGGGAAAAGAAGCCCTATTCAATAAATGGTGCTGGGAAAATTGGATAGACATATGCAGAAGAATGAATTAAGACCCTTATCTCTCACCACTCAGAAAAATTAATTCAAGATGGATAAAAGACTTAATGTAAGGCATGAAACCATAAAAATTCTGGAAGAAAATGTAGGAAAAACTTTTCTAGATATCAGCATAGGCAAAGAATTTATGACTAAGACCCCAACGGCAATTACAGCAACAACAAAAATAAATAAATGGGACTTAATTAAATTAAAAAGCTTCTGCACAGCTAAGGAAATAATCAACAGAGAAAACAGATAACCTACAGAATGTGAGAAAATATTCACAAACTATACATCCAATAAAGGCTAATAACCAGAATCTACGAAGAACTCAAACTAATCAGCCAGAAAAAAACAAGCCTATTAAAAAGTGGGCAAAAGACATGAACAGCAGCTTTTCAGAAAAAGGATAGACAAATGGCCAACAAACATGCAAAAAATGCTAAACATCACTAATCATCAGAGAAATGCAAATTAAAACGACAATGAGATATCACCTTACCCATGTTTGAATGGCTTTTATTAAAAAGTCCAAAAACAAGATGCTAGTGTGGATGCAGAGAGAAAGAAATGCTTATACACTGTTGGTGGGAATGCAAATTAGTACAACCTCTATGGAAAACAGTGTGGAGATGTCTCAAAGAACTAACAGTAGACCTACCATTCAATCTACCAATTCCACTACTGGGTATCTTTCCAAAGAAAAGAAGTCATTTTATCAAAAAGACACCTGCACTCAAATATTTACTGCAGCACAATTCACAACTGCAAAGACGTGGAATCAACCCAAGTGCCCATCAATTCATGAGTGGATTAACAAAATGTGGTATATGTATACCATGGAGTACTTACTACTCAGTCATAAAAAAAGTGAATGTCTTTTGCAGCAATTTGGATGGAACTAGAGAGGATTATACTAAGTGAAGTATCTAAAGAATGGAAAAACAAACACCATATGTACTCTCTAATAAATTGGAACTAAGAGATGGGCACACATGTTCAAAGAGGGAAGTAAAAGTCACTGGAAATCAAGCAGGGGGGAGAGAGGTGGAGGAGAGGGGCAAAAAGCTACCCAAGGGGTACAATGAACACTATTCGGGTGATGTGCACACTAATAGATCTGACTCAAGCATAACAAAAGCTATCCATGTAACAAAAATATTTGTACCACCTTAATACTTTGAAAAAAAATGAATTTTCTTTAAAAAAGGAAAACGTAAATAAATCAGCCAACTTAAAATCATTAAAATGTTAAACATCATCTATGTCATTTGGCTATGTGTATAAGAAAATGACTATAAGAAAGAAAAATGTGATCCAGAGCAATTTAAAAAATTTGCTGTTAATGCATAGAATATCTGTATTTGTTGCTACCATAAATTGCTCAAATTCTGTATCATTAATTTTTTTCATCATCTTGCTTTCTATTATAAAAAGGGAAAATAGTTTAATGATGATAAGGATCTCAAAGAACTCCCAGTCTAAGTCCATAATTTTACAGATGAAAAAATGAAGTTCAGAGAAATGTTAGGTATTATCCCTAAGTATTTTCACCCTGAGAATGGCAAAGCAAGGACTAAAATTGAAGTCTCTTGAATCTCTGTCCAAAGTTTTCTTTTCATATCATGATGATGAAGGAATATTAGCAATCATTAAGGATAAATGGTAATATTATCATTTCATTATTTCACCAATAGTAAAACTGAAACGGAATCACTGATTCATTCAAAGTTATATAATCTATGCTAGCAACATAATTTTACCCATTAGTGACGTCAGTATAGCTCCAGTACAGGAGGCAAGCATTTGTTGAAGAGGTGTCACTTTGATAATCTGTAGTCCCTCTGTTTCAGGATCCATATTTTTAACCAATTGAAGAAAAATCTGTTAAAGAAAAGCAAAATATAAAATTACAACATGCCCTCTGATCTTCCAAAAATGGTTAACATACTTCAGCTAAGCTGTGTGAGCAGGTGTGATGCTGGTAGAAACAGAGGTAGAAACAGATTCTGACCATGTAACAGAATGAAAGCAGTTGACCAAGTCACAGAATCTATGAATTTAGCCTCATAAACACTACTGAGAAATCATCTTCAATCTAGGACAGAGTATCATCGAATATAGCACTATTTTTATTGCATACCTGAAGTTGTCGCATAGGTATAAAATGAAATAAAAGCACATAACCTTAATAAGAGGTATTATAAAAATTTGATGAGAAAAGCAACATATACTCTTTTAACAAATACAAAAAAGTATAAAAATCACTTATGAATTCACTATTAAAAAATAATCACTAGCAACATAGGGGTGTCATCTTTCCAAATATCTACGTACATATACATATATCTGTGTATATATGCACACAGATTACATCTAACTAATAAATACTGTATGTTAATCAAACACGTATGCACGTATGCACATTCATGCACTGTGTATTTCCTTTTTGGAAAATCAAAAACAGGTTAATACTGCTCATGCTTCTTTAGCAGACTGCTTTAACACTTAAAAATATATTACAGTATGTCAATAAATATGTATTTACATCATATTAATGCTTGCACAGTATTTAATTATATTTATTTAATTGGTCTCATATTGTTAGATACTAGGTTGTTGCCTATTTCACAATTATAAGTTATTCAAATATAATATCCTTATATATACATCTTTTTGTAGTCTTCCTATAATTACTCCAGAAGAAAAAGTAAGATTGCAGGGCTAAACTATTTCAAAATTTGATACAAACTGCCAAAATGCTTTCCAGAAAGGCTGGACCAATTTATACTTTCACTGGCAATATATGAGTTCCTACTGATCACAACACTTCACCAAACTCTTTCTCATATTACATATCATTTCCCTCCCCCTCCCTCCCCCCCCTTTTTTTTTGAGACAGGGTCTTGCTCTGTCATGTAGTATGGAGTACAGTGGCACAATTGTAGCTCACTGTAACCGCAAACTACTGGGCTCAAGTGATCCTCCTGCCTCAGCCTCCCTGCAAGTCCTCAGTCAGAACTACAGGAGTACACCACCACTCCGGCTAACTTTTTAAATTATTTTTTTGTAGAGACAAGGTCTTCCTATGTTGCCCAGGCTGGTCTCAAACTCCTGGCCTCAAGTGATCCTCCTACCCCAGCCTCCCAAAATGCTGGGATTACAAGCTTGAGCCACCAAGCGGGGGCCAATTTATTTTTTCTGAATCATTTGAAAGTACGTTGCATACAACATCCCTCTTCACCTTAAATGCTTCAGAATATTCTCTTATATAATCACAGTACAATTATCAAATTCAAGACACTTAATTTTGACACAGTACTCTGTGGTTCACATTCCAATTTTGTCAATTACATCAATAATGTTCCATAAAAATAAATGATAGCTTTATTATTTCTTTAGATTTTTGTTATCTACCTACCTGGTTTACATCTTTTCTTCAACTCTATGACCCAATATTTTATTCTTTGTAACATCAGTAGCCAAAACCCTATAATTAAAAAAAGAAAGTACTTGTTTTATCTTTTCACAGGGGGGTACATAAAAACACCAAAACACATATTAACAAATATTTATTTAACAGTTTCTACTAAGTGCTTTAAGAGCTATAAAGAGGACTCCACAAATGCAAGCATTAGAATTATGAAAGCATTTTCACAAAAATTTATGTTATTCCAGTTAATATACTCCACTTTGTAAACAAACAAGCAAACAACTCCAGAACCTGAATAGTGATCAACCTTAGCATCTATTATAGTAGAATAACTAGATTTTATAACACAAAATTAAAGGTCCAGCATAATCTATGAAATTTTTTTTGGGGGGGGGCCTTTAATCCGAATCTAAATAAGCTTTAGATCTAACTTCCAATTCATAGAAAATTTGGAGACTAGATTACCAGGGTAACAGATGTCACAAAGTAACAGAAGTTGTAATATTCCAGTCTATAAGACTAATGTCTTGGTTTCTTCAAGTCAAACTAAGGTTAGGAAAAAAGGTGGCAGAAGAGGGAGAACTGTTCTAGATTAAAGGGATTTTAAGAGAGTCAACAACCAAAAGGATTCTGGTTCAAGCAAACAAATTTTAAAAAGCCAATTTGAGGATAACTACAGAAATCTGAACATGGGCTGGTATTAGATTAATATTATTTTAAATGTTAGATAATATTTTAAAATCGTGTTCATTGTGTTTGTTGAGATAATGGTACTATAGTTACGTAAAAGCTGTCTTTTAAGAGATTCATTCTGAAGAATTAAGGGCTGACGTGTTATGACAGCTATAGTTTATAATACCTCAAAAAAAAGTACTAAAATGCTAATAATTTGGTAAACCCAGGTGATACATATACCATAAGGTGATACATTGTTCTGTATTTTTCTGTACATGTGAAAATTTATATAACAAATTTTTTTTAATTCCTGAAATGTATGTAGAATCTTCAAGTCTGAGAACATATTTCTAACATTCATTTCATTTATATAAACATAGCTCTTTTAACACATTGATGGCCACACTAGAAAAAAAATTTTTCCTTGGGGCCATGGTGTTTTATTACAAAAATAAAGATTTGAGAAACAAAACCATCCTTTCTAATTTAATGAAAAATTTGTTATTTTTTATTGTTTTCTGTGCATGAGTTATATGCAACTTGAAAAATAGTTCATAGGCAGCTCCCAACGGGAAGAGATGTGTGAGTTACATATGCTTCATGAGACCCCGGGCTCAAAACTAGCTTCAGTTAAATACAACTCACATGGCAGTTAATGTGTTAAGTGGAAAAAAAAAAAAAAAAAGGTATACTAGCATATAGGTGTACTCCTCCAGAACTGTAAAAAGGGTCACAGCATTCCCCCCCCCTTTGCCCCCCCGAGACAAGGTTACTCTTTGTTGTCCTAGGCTGGAATGCAGTGGCATGATCACAGCTGACTACAGCCTCAAACTCCTGGGCTCAAGTAATCCTCCACCTCTGCCTCCCAAGTAGCTGAGACTACCGGCACATACCACTATGTGTCGCTAATATTGTTTTCATTTTTTGCAGAGACAGGATCTTGTTATGTTGCCCAGGCTGATCTTGAACTGCTGATCTTGAATTCCTGGTCTCAAGCAATCCTCTTGCCTCTGACTCCCCAAAATGCTGGGATTACAGGTTATGAGCCACCATAATCTGGCCCCACAGTACTTTATATTGTTGATACAGTAACAGCAAGGTTGGTAACTCGAATATATACACCTGAAATTAAAGCCAAAAAACTTGACATATTTCTAGCAATTCTTTAGAACATCAGGGAAACAAGCCAGAAATGTAAATGTTTAATAACTTCCTAGAACTGTTAAACTATTAAATTTGTTTTTTTCTTTTGAGACAGAGTCTTGCTCTGTCACCCAGGCTAGAGTGCCATGGCATCAACCTAGCTCACAGCAATCTCAAACTACAGGCATGCGCCACCATGCCCCACTAATTTTTTCTATTTTTTGTAGAGACAAGGTCTCGCTCCTGTTCAGGCTGGTCTTGAACTCCTGAGTTCAAGCGATCCTCCTGCCTCCACCTCCCAGAGTGCTAGGATTACAGGCAGGAGCCACCATACCTAGCCTGAACTTTTTTATTTTTTGACAATGTATATACTAAATATTTTAGGAAAATAAGTTATATCAACAGTCTCCTAAAATCATAACACATATCTAATTATGAGATCTGAAAAATGAGCCTCCTTTTCAATTTGTCAGAAAAATAATGTGGAAAAATGCAAAATCAAATGAGGATTTGGTAGTAGATGAAGTAAAACTAGAAAGTGATAATCATAGTGGTTTGTCTAGAATTCATAATGTATTCTCCATTGCTTTAAATTCCCTACAGTCTTATCAGCCCACTCATCTTTCTTCTTTCTCTTTCCATTCTTCTGTGTGCCAGGCACTGTCCCTTTCTCAGAGAGGACACAATCTAGTGGGAGAGACCACTGTAACGAAATATTCCTTTGGTTCTCTTATAACCTTAGAACATCTCATAAAGAAATGTTCTTCAAGAATAGCTTTCTCGCTCAACTCCCAGTGAAGTTTCTCTTTCCCATACCTTTTCTGTTTTTTGTATCCTACTTAACTTAGTATTAGCAATTTGCCATACCAAAGTGGTCTTCAGATATAAATGGCAAACATTCTCAAACATGAAAATGACCCTCCTGAGGGGCAGAAATGAAAGTTACTTAAAGACAAAACCCCCTCAAGATAAAACAAGGTCTAACTTAGTATCATCAGAATTTTTCATATTTTCCAATTGAATGTGTGTTAAATGCTTTCTTATTATAATCTTGATTTACTTTCCCCTGGTAAACTAAACATCTCTTCACATTTTTATTAGCAGTATGTATTGCCTCTTTCCATAATATGTCCATTTATAACTTTTTCTCATTTTTTCTATTAAGGCATGCATACTTTTCTTATTGTTCTCAGGAATCCTTTATCCTTTTTAAAGAAATACTTAAGAATATTTATTTTTACTGATACATAATAGATGCACATATTTTGGAGGTACATGTGATAATTTCATAAATTCATATAATGTGTAAAAATCAAATTAGGGCAATTAGGATATCTATCACTCTAAATATCTTTTTTTCATGATAATAACATGCAAATCATTCCCTTCTAGCTATTTTGAGAAGCGATTCAGCATATTCAAGGGATCCCCAATAAGATTACAAGCTGATTTCACACTGAAAACCATGGAGGCCAAAATACAGTGGGATAACATTCAAAGTAATAAAAGTAAAAGACTGTCAAACAAAAATTCTACATCTAGCAAAATTATTCTTCGGTATTGAAAGAAAAATTAAGATATTCCTACAAAAACAAAATTAGAAAGAATATGTTGCTAGTAGACGTG